GCCGTGGCATGGCACGGGAAATGACGCCAGCGCTGCAGCGGGAGCATGAGTCGAAACGAGCGGAAGCGCGGAAATGAGGCCAGCGCTGCAGCGGGAGCACGATGCGGAACGAGCGGAAGCACGCCAGAATCGGCCCGGGAGGCTTCCCGGGCGCCGGAAGCAGAAATTCAGCATATTCAAAAGAAAAATGTGTATTGAGTCTTTTTTCGGCGCCGCCTCGGAACTCGATTTTCCGGCGCCGGCTGGAACCGGCTCCAGAACCGGCCCGGGGCTGGCCCGGGCGCCGGCTCGGGTGTTTGGCCCGGGCGCCGGCTCGGGCGCCAGCCCAGACGCGTCGGAATCGGCCCGGGAGGCCCCGGGCGCTGGAAGCAGAAATTGAGCATTTTCATAAGAAAAATGTGTATTAGAATGGCCTTTTTTCGGAGCCGCCTCGGAACTCCATTTTCCGGGGGCGGCCGGGACCGGCTCCGGACCCGGCGGCCCGAGCGCCGGCCCGGGCGCCGGCTCGGGCGTGCGTCCCAGGCGCCGGCGGAAATGAGGCCAGCGCTGCAGCGGGAGCACGATTCGGAGCGAGCGGGGCCCGAAAATGAGGCCGGCGCCTCAGCGAGAGCAGCATTTTGGACAAAAATGCAGGCGAAAACCCAACTCCGGGGAAACCTGTGTAAAAAACAGTACGCGGGGTACGGGGTCGGCTACTCCCATTCCGTCATCAGGGGAAGAGGGAAAATAGTATTCATAATTAGTAATTGTGGAGGAGGAGGAGGAGGAGGAGGAGGAGGAGGAGAGGAGGTGGGAGGAGGGTTGGTGGATGGGAACGGGATTCGAGGGATCGAGGACTCGAGGACTCGAAGACTCGATCTTATACTCTTATCGAGGAGGAGTGGCAGGGGAGGAGGAGGAGGAGGAGGAGGAGGCGGAGGCGGAGGCGGAGGAGGAGGAGGAGGTGGAGGAGAAGGAGGAGGAGGAGGAGGAGGAGGAGGAGGAGGAGGAGGAGGAGGAGTGGGCTCGAGGAGGAGGAAGCGGGCGCCGCGTGGGACGTGGTGCCTTTGCTCTGCTTCATGCTCGCGGCGCGGGGCCCGTGCCGAGCAGAGGGTTCGGGGGGCGAAGCGCGAGCCCTTTCGGCTGTCCCAGGAGGCGCGCACGCCTTCTGAAACCCCTCGCGTTGCGAACAGAACCACGACGGGGAGCTTTCTCGCGCTATTCTAGGCCCCCGGGGGCCCGCACCAGGCCTCGGGACCGGGACCGTCAGAAAACGACTAACGCCATGAACAAGTCACGACGTCGGGGGTCAGGACAGGGCTCCCTTGGACTCCTCTGGCGCGGTTCGATCTCGATTCCGACTCCGATTCCCATGCGGTTCGGCCTCGGATTTTTGCCGACGCGGGTGTTGGTTCTTCAGCGGAGGCCTTGCTCACCTTCCGATTCCACCGATTTCACTCTCCCGACTCGGCTGCCGATTTCTGCCGATCTGGGTCGTTTCGATCGCCGATCCGATGTTGAATTCAGCTCTATTTCGGCCCCCTCGTTGCTCCCATGTCGTTTCCCCATAATGCTTTACCCGACCCACTGCTGTTGCGTATCAAACCAGCTTGAAGCTTAATTGCTTCTGGTAGCGATCGACCAGAAAAGCCTCCCTTTTGTGGCTTCACACGCCGACAGGGTCGGCGGATTTTTCTACTACTGCAGAGGCCACCTGAGTGTCAGACAGATCGACTTGCATGCCGACTTCCTGGGCCTCCTCCGGGTCGATCCCTCCTTCAATGACTCGAACGAGCCTGTTCCGTTGCATGCTGACGAATGATGGGCCTGTTCTCAACCACCACCACCATAAGTTGGAGGGGGAGGGGGTCCTCCTCCCCCTCCTCCTCCTCCTCCTCCTCGTCCTCCTCTCCTCCTCCTCCTCCTCCTCCTCCTCCTCCTCCTCCTCCTCCTCCTCCCTCTCCTCCTCTTCCTCCTCCTCCTCCTCCCTCCTCCTCCTCCTCTTCTTCCTCCTCCTCCTCTTCCTCCTCCTCCTCCTCCTCCTCCCCTCCGCGGCCGCCCTGCCTCTCATCTTCCTGCCTGCAGTGCGCGATTTTGGTGATCAGCGCCCCTGGGCCGCGTTCCAGGGGAACCGTCAGGGGGGGAATAGGCTCAGGGTTAAGTCGGGTATGTGCCTCTACAGGAGGAATATTCAAAAATAGGAAAACATAGTCTGGGACGATGCTTTGAGTATTTATAGCTATTTTCAATTTTTTTGGGGGTACTTGTCATTTTTCGTCCCCCTGTAGGGGGACATGCCCGACCTAAGAGTAGGCTCAGGGGGGGGGGACGCATCCACCCCCAGTCGCTCGTGGATCGCCACCCCGCCCGGGAACGTGCGGTTTCGCCACCAGGGGGCCCATCGCCGATCCATCGGCGATGTATCGCCGATTCCAGGTCGATGGCTACCCGCTGAGCGCTGAGCTGGTCCCCCCTCAACGTTCCCTTAGGGTGTGAGTGTCGGGCAGATCCTTCCCGCCGCCTCCCTTCTCCCCGCCCGCCCCCCGGGCGGCTTGGCCGGTCACGGCCGAGGCTACATGCCCACCCTGCCGCCCGACCACTTCGACGGCAGGGAGCACGGCCGCCAGGGCAGCCGGCAGAGGGAAAAGGACGGGGTGGGAGCCGCGCCAGGGGCGATCGAAAGGGGCACGGCAAGAAGAGGGACGACGACCGTCCGGAGGGCGGAGGAGGAGGAGGAGGAGGAGGAGGAGGAGGAGGAGGAGGAGGGAGGAGGTGGAGGGGAGGGGGGAGGAGGAGGAGGAGGTGGTGGAGGAGGAGGAGGAGGAGGAGGAGGAGGGAGGAGGAGGGAAGGAGGAGGAGAGGAGGAGGAGGAGGAGGAGGAGGAGGAGGAGGAGGAAGGCGGTGGAGGAGGAGGGAGGAGGAGGAGGAAGGTGGTGAGGAGGTGGAGGAGGGGAGGGGTGCAGGCGGAAGGAGGAGGTGAGGAGGAGGAGGAGGAGGTGGAGGAGGAGGAGGAGGCGGAGGAGGAGGTGGAGGAGGAGGTGAGGAGGAGGAGGAGGAGGAGGGGGAGGAGGAGGAGGAGGAGGAGGAGGAGGAGGAGGAGGAGGAAGAGGAGCAGGAGCAGGAGCAGGAGCAGGAGCAGGAGCAGGAGCAGGAGCAGGAGCAGGAGCAGGAGGAGGCGGCGGCGGCGGAGCTCCATATGAGTCCAAGTCAGCACGGACTACGGAGTGTGGTGGGGTTACCCCCTCATTACTGTAAGCTCGGCACCACACGACACGTGGGACACGAACGGCCAGGCCCGAGTTCGGGCGTAGCCCGTGTGCGGCCCGTACCGACAGGTGCACGCGGGATCCACCAGCAAGCAGCAACGACGCGGGAGACCAAGAGCGAGCAGGCGCCGTACATGGCCGAGGGAGGCGAAGGCTCCCCCCTAGGCGCCCGCACGCGGACGCCCAGGAGGGAGCGTTTCACACAGCCCCCAGCCAGGGACGGCCCCCGAGGGGGGGGAGGAGAGGCCCACGGCCCAGGAGGAGCGGGAGGGGCGAGAGGAGGGGGAAGGGACGAGACGACAGCAGGAGGGATCCCCGTTTTTGCACCAAAACTAAGAGAAGCAGCGACTTCAATGAAACTGGGACGAGGTCGCACTAAAAAGTTCATGTGGCGACCAGCCGTGCAATGGTCAGCAATGCTAACGACGCATCTCCAACTTCCACTTCCTCGGGCAGATCACTGTGCACCTGCTGCAGCGGCACATTACGAGCACAAACATACCAGCATGCAAAAGAGGGCTTACTCTGCGGGCCTCACTCACGTCCCTCACTCGCCTGCAATCCACTCCATTTCCCGCGGGTACTCAGAGAACCAGCAGCCAGTGCTACGCCGACATTGCCACAATAATCTTCTGACTCTCCACCTCCACGGCGCACAATAGAACACGCTTTAGTTTCTCATTCTCCATCGCACTCATGAGCCTCTTTATCTTGCTGTCTAACATCTTCACGGTCCGAAAGAAGCCAACGACCTGCTGAGCCACTCGACTGCCAGGCTTGTGCTTAACCAGGTTGAACGTGTCGGGCGGTCCGAGACTGTGTCCGCTCTTGCCTCGCAACTCCCCATTGTGCGTCGTCTGCATCGACTGCCGTAGAGCTCCTTCCGTGCTGATCTCACACTGCGACCTGCCCGCCGCCTCCAGGGCACGAAGCTTTGGTAGGCGATCACACCCAGGCGCGGAGAGAGGCGCATCATCGTCTCACCCTCCTTGTTCTCCTTCGCATACATGGCTGCCCGCCCTTGAGGTGCTGCAGACGCATCTCCTGGGCCACGCGACGTGGGCTGATCCGCCCACGTGCCGTCCGCGCACTGCTGGAAGGAAAAGCTCCGATATGCCCTTTCACCACTGAGCCACGGTAGCAACAGCCCCCACATGTTAGTGCACCTAATTATCACGCGTCACTGTTTACCCAGGAACGTGCCTGACCAGGTGGGCCCTAGCCGACACATGCGTGGTCAACTCGAGATCACAGAATTCACACCTATAGGGAGGGTCCACGGTATGATTATGAATGGTAACCGATCCCCTGGATTTCGGGCATACGCCTCTAGCAATACTGACAGCTAGATGTTCCGAAGCATACTTCCGAGTAGTATAGTAATTGTCACATTTAATACACTTGTTAGACACCGTCAAGATCTTGGCAAGGGTCTTTTTCCATGGCCGTCAGCTTTTGAGTTGGCCTGACGTAGCAGGGGTTGCCTGCGATAATTAAATCCCATTCCACATCCCTCGAGATCGCACGCGCATGGAGCGGGGGCAGGAACCTCGGGAACAAGTTCAAGACCAGGGGGCGGTAAAACTTGCGCCCCATCTCCTCGTCCACCTCGTTCGATTCCACCCCCTCATTATAGATCTCCTCGAACGTCCTCGGTCCTTCCTCAGCCCTCTTGACCTGCGACACCTTCACACTTAAGAGCGCCTCCCTGATCTCCGAATTTCAAAAAAGCCCCACTGGCCTTTGGAGTAGTGCTGGTCGCACTTCTGGCATTCCCAAGCCAGCGATACACACAGACACATCCAAGAGAAACTGGCTCCACCATTGGTGCACTGCGCTAGCACCTGGCGCAGCACGCGCGTTCCCATGCACGTCGCATAGGTTGAGCTGATCCCAGGCAGCATATCCAAAAATCTCCGCCAAGGCTAACACATGCTTCTCAGGTGATCGTACTAGCTCTTGCCACCAGCGAATCCTCCAAGCTCTCAATGTGCAGTAGGGTGCCCTTATCTTCATCTCCTTCCTTATCTCCGTATTTGGTAAGACTCGATATCTTTTTGGGCGTTCACTGGTGGCAGCAATCTTCAAAGTGCCTTTGCCTTGCAGAGCACGCCTAGCTAGATGAGCTTGGACTCCCTCCAAGCGCTGCGAAGCAGTCTCGCTCAGGGGATTGGCGATGAGCTCCGCGAGAAGAGATCCCTCCACCATGCTTTTGAAAACTGCCGTCCTCCACTTAGCACTCCTGTTTTCCGACCAGAAACTGCCTAATGCAGCAAAGGCTTGCCTGACGCGCCGCGCGCGTAGCTCCACCTCAGGCTTAGAGCTACCTTGAAAGTGTATCCGACCTCGTAAATAGTTAGCGCCCCTCTTCACACTTCCCAACATCCAATTCTTGTCTCTATACAGCCTCCTCATGCCCTCCTGAATCCCCTTCCCCGTCAGATGAACCAGTGATTCCTGCTTCTCATCATTCAAGGCGACACCTATCTCCTTCAGCTCCCCCTCCAGCGATGTGTGCTGTGACCACGTTCGCAACCTGCAATGCGTCGCGTCTGTCACTGCTGACGTTCTTGCAATATCATCTGAAAAAAACTAGAAAGCGAGATGTCAACGAACTCCCTGGGCTTCTGATTCAGCAGCACCCTGCCATCAGGACAATCGGTTAGGCAATGTCTGAGCCACTTCATCTGCACATGCAAACTGACCGCGTCCGAATCTCTGAACACGTCCAGCGGCTTACTATAGGCCCCCTTGAACCATATACACGAGATCGTGTCCCAGGTAGCGTGCCCTGCCCAACTCCCACTACTAACGTCCCATCCGTACATTCAATCGACACCTGTGCAAATCGTAGTCTCTGTTTGAACAGCTCGGCACCAAACGCGTCGCAATGCTCGTCAACATACGCGTACAAGTACTCATGCTCAACACTATGGAACGCGTTCGTGGCATCATACAGCGTAGTAAGCCTGCCTATTTTGCTACCGTGCAAACGAGCCGCACACACACACACACACACTGCGCGAGAATCGCCTCCCCTCGGCGCCTACTTTTCAAGTGCCCAGATGAGTATGCTCTATCAGCGGCCTGCGTGAGCTCGGGGTACCTGCTCCGCAGTACTCCATAGTATGATTTGCCGAATCAGTCCCTGGCCCTTGCATTCGCTCTTTCCGTTAAGTTTGCTCAAGGCAAAAGCTTTGCTCTGGTGCCGCTGTAAAGGAGTTTCACCGTGATGCCTAATTGCCGCACGTATCCAGACTAAACACTTATTTATATTCGGGAAGTACCACTCATCCTCTTCGTGCTGCTCTCCAGAGGAATCAGACTGCTTATAGCGAAATTCGTTTGCCCGCATCAGCAGCCGCCGCGCTCCAGCTGGGGAGCTCCAGTCGGGCGGCGTCCGCCTCAGCCTCGCGTTGCGCATCTTCCCGCGCACTTCTATATAATCATCCGTGTCGTGCTGAATAGTACTAATGGTGAGGTCAGCCTTAGGCTCTCTGTTCTGCCTACCTTGCTGCTCCTCCGCTTGGCGCGGGGACTTAGCCAAGCGCCGCCTTCTCTGCCAGGCGCCTCCAGGAATGTCTTCCACGTCTCTTTTTCCAGACGCGTCTGAGGCGCACACAAATCCCTCTGGTTGGGGCCCCGACTATTACTAGCTAGTAGGCGGGGCAGCTTCCAGCACAGCGCCGCATCCCCTTGGCGCTTGGCCCTACTTACTTCACTCGCATACATCTCCATTTTCATAGAACGGTCCCGTCGCAGGTAGGATCGTACTTGCTTATCACGCTGCTGACAGCACTGAACAACACTCGATAGGCACGCATGCGGCTCGTACACTTCGTTGCACGCTCGCGAGAGCGTGCACGCGCGTCCAAAAAAAACTGCTCGGGCAGAAATTCGTGCACTCCCTTCCCGCCCCAGAGGACCCAGTCAGGAAACCCCGCGCGAGGACACTCACCCAGAGGAAGGGCGGGAGGGAGGGGAGGGAGCGGCACATCTCTCAGTTCCCTTAATGCTTTCCTGCTCTCCAGCCTCGCCTCCAGCGCTCGCTGAGTGTCCTAAGGCCTTGCCCCGCGCTTGGGTTGCTTGGAAAAGACAGCTTGCGCCTTCTCCAGCACTCGAGCGTGCACTTCACTATGCATCGCATCAGGGCCCTGGAGACACAATTCCTGCGCATCCAGCGCGGTCTCCACCAGGGGCCCGTCCACTGCTGATAAAACCCCCCCAAGATTCTTGGCCGAAGCGAATGCACCTAAACAGCCTGTCGTGATCCCATGCATATGCTGCTTGCGGCATCAAATCAAAGCACGGGCCTACCCTGAAACGCGCCACTAGCGGAAAATGATCCCGCCTCGTCCTGGTGTTGATGATCTGCAGTCTATCTCCTG